ATGACTTTCAGGATCATACCTTAAACCATGACATCACTCATATATGTAAGATAGCTACTATCTCCAATTCTAATGTCTCTAAACTTGACTACCTACCAGACTTTCCCTATCCTTACCCTCAGGTCTTTCTTTCCATTATTGGCTTGTTTGAGTTCCATGGTGCATCATAATAAATCAATGCCTTCTATTCACTCTCAGTTACTTGACCTTCTCTCCATTAGCTGCACTGTTTCATCAAAAATTAAAAGTTGAAAATTCTCTTAGTCTTCTTACACTAACTTCTGTGCATTTTTTATGTTTCTGTGTATGTGTGGGTGCATGTATCTGTTCATGTCCTTATGTGTGTCCACACACATATGTGTGAATGTGTGTATATGTATGTGCCTGTGTATGTATGTAGAGGCTAGAAGTCAGCCATGGGTGTCCTCACCCATGGTTTTTGCCCTGATTTTGAGACAGGGTATCCCACTGGCCTGAGGTTTGCCAAGCTGGCTGGCCAGAGCTCATGCTAACCTTCCTATTCCTGCCTTCACAGTGATGGGATTATCTGTGTTGACCACTAGTCCTGGCTCTTTTCTTCTTTAACATGGCATTGAACTTAGGTAGCCATGCTTATGAAGCAAGCACTTTACTGACTGAACTCTGTCCCCAGCTCAACTTCCATGCATCTTAATGTATCTAGAAGCAATAAAACAAGTAAGCCATAGATTGTAACTTTTATTTTCCAATCTTTTCCTAATTATTTCTCTCTATTTTGCTTAGAAAAATAGAGCCATACAGCTACTCCCCAGCCTGCATTTACACCCATATGTTCTGCCTTGTCTCCTGTTATTACAGACGAACATTTTTAGCAGCCATATGACTGAGAAGGTGCACAGGAATGGTACATTATGTTAGTAAGCTTGCCCGAGTTCTGACTGCTGATGAGTGATATTCTGAGGATTTTGAAATGTATCCTGCTTGTTTTTTTTAGAACTTATCAGAATCCATTTGGCAGAAATAGCATCACTGTCCAGTAAGATTCATGGTGGTAATGAAAGTGTATAGTAGTGCCCAGGATTCCAGCTGGAATCACATCAGGGTCTCACTATGTATCCTGGACTGGTCTTGAACTCACTCTGTAGACCAGGCTGGCTTCAAACTCAGAGAGACTCACCTGCCTCTGTGCCCTGAGTACTGATATTAAAGGTGTGTGTCACCATACTTGGCAAGGTTACACTCTTTTGGAAATGGATAAAAGTATAACTGAGTCGAAATCATTTGGCATCAGTCCTTGTACTGAACTGCCATGAAGGAGATTTTTTTTTTCACTTAGTATAAATATTTACACATTCAAATGAATTTAAAAAATAGGGATTTTAAAGATCAAATTGTTCCCAACATGAATTTTATGGTGTCTGGTAGTTGAAGCATATTGCCATTCTAATAACTGGAAAGAAATTCTGAGAATTCTTGTACCTGAACCTGAGGGATTACTAACAATTATCAGAAACCCTCCTGAGCAGTGAGGTCAGAAATGGGCAGGAAAGGACTTCAGGGGTATAACCAATGATCTGTCACATGAAGGTGCAGAGTAGCACAGGAGAATGTTTTCAGCTTTTTTTCTGTGATCCTGAGAATCAAACCCCTGGTTTAGCACACACTAGGTGAAATACCATTCAACTTTCTCCCTAACCTGTTTTCAGTTTGTTTAACTGTAGAGGTTAGTATTTCACTATGCCAAGATGAAGGATATATGTATAACTCAAAGGAGTGTAGCACAGATAAAGTCAACGTTATTTTTCAGGTTGCATTTTAGTCTTCTGTAACACATGCTGATCAAGATTATTCTCTCTTTGCGTGTGTTCTATCATTGTCCTTCCCTGTGTCTGCCACCAATAGAGATTAAATAGATCTTTTTTCATGAAAAGATGTTATTTTATTTTTACCTAATAAGGAATTTATAATACTTATAAGCATATGCTGTATTTAGCCAAGAAAGTAGTTTTAGTTATATCTTGTGCCCTCTTTATTATTTTTATAATCATCATCATCATCATGATCATCAATTATGTTAGGTGGGCATACACCCCATGGGTGCAGTAGTGAAGGTCAAGGAACAGCTTTGTGGAATTGGTCCTCTTCCTCCATCTTTACTTGAGTTCAGGCTTGCACTGTTTGGTAGCAAGTGACTTTACTTGGTAAGTCCTCTCACTGGTCCTTTGAATCTCTTCTGTAACAAGTATTTTTCAATAATTCCTTTACCATTTAGAGTGATATACAGATTATTAGTTAACTATTCATATACACAAAATCAAAATGATATAATATCCATATGAAAAGGAAAGAGAAGAGAATATGCATAATAATGAAGTATGATTTTTTCATGTACTAAGATATGAATACTCAAGAAAATGCATTGAAGGAGAGATGCTTGCATCAGTAGCTATGCCAGAAGTAGATGCTGACACTTATAGTAGTGACTGAAAATCTTCAGTTGATGTCTCATGCATAAAGATCTTAAAGTAAATTTTAATTTAAATGCAGTCAAGTCTCTAGATAATTTAGCCTGTGTCTCCAAAACATTGCAGAATATACTTTTTGTTTATGTATAAAATTGTCACAGGCAGGGGTAGCAAATATACTTTTAGCCTGAAGGGCTGATGTATGTTGCCCATCTTTTATTTGACATAAAATATCCTGTGCAAATGTTAATAAATTAGTATGATGTAGATTACAGCTTTTAAAGGAAAAACAGCCAATGTAAAAAGTCACCCTCAACCAACCCCTCCCAAATTCAGATACCTATATTTATTATGGGACAATGAAGAGGGGTTGTAATTTGTTGTTTTAACTATTGAAGGAAGGGTCTTGGTAATGGTTCAGCTGGTAAAGATACATGCTGCCAATCTTAATACCTCAGTTCAAGACCTGAGTTCAAGCCTCAGGAAAGACATGGTGGAAGGAGAGAAATGACTCCTGAAAGTTGTCCTCTGATTTCCACAAATTTGCTGTGGTACACAGAGACACACACAGACACACACACATGCATACACACAGACACACAGGCACACACACAGACACATGCACGCACACACAGACACACAGACACACACAGACACACGCACACACACAGACACACATGCACACACACACATGCACACACAGACACACATGCACACACAAACACATGGGGGTGCAAAATAAATAAAGGTAACTATTAAAGGAACATATAAGGAGATATTTTCAAAGTATGGCATGTACAGCACATTATTTCACATTATTCTGCTTGAAGAAGTATGATTTACATATTTATTCAGTAAAATCTAATAACTACATGTGGTGTTGCATATGGTAACCAACCTTCCAAATTCTCTATTACAGTTTGGATTTTTAGAAAACTTATATTATAAAGCATATATATTTTCTCTCAGTTCATCTGTTCTAATTTTTCATTTGAAATCCATGCTCCCCTATGTGCTGCTAAGATGTGAGCCTCAAGTAATCACACTCTGCCTTCTGCAGCTTTGCTGCTATACTTTTACAGATTAGACATTCACATTCAAAAATTATTTTGAGAAATATTGAGATGGTGGTTTAAATACACTGTTCTTTTGCAAATATTCAGTACACATCTCCACATTCAAAATTGTATTCAGAATCTGCTTTCTTTTCATGCAAACCTTTAAAAATCATGGCTATGTATTTACATTTTTCTCTCAAAAAATCATTACAGCATAATTATCAGAAAAAAGAGAAATGAGAGGGAGAGAGGGAAGGAAAGGGAAAAGGGAGGGAGGGATGATGGAGGGAAAGGGACTCTTAGGAGATCCTTTGTACTTTTTTTTGACTAAATCAAAAGATATAACTATAGTGTAGTATTTCTTCCATGAAATTTAACAAAGCAAAAGGAAAATAATATTTAAACAAAATAAAATCCAGTAAGCTCATTCACTGCCTAAATTGTATTAATAAAAAGCATTATGTCAATATTTATAGAGTGTTTGCTGATTCATTTCCCACATAACTTTTTCTTGTTTCTTCCTAAGTTGTATGGTGTTTATGCTCAGTTTACAGTTATGTCTTGTTAACAACTTTAGTTTTCTTTTCCTTCCTTTAGCTAAAACTGCTATTTTGTCCTAAGAATGTGTATTTTTTTTTTAAATATCAGGTTCTTAATTGCTAGCATCAGTGTTTCATACTTGGAAAGGAAGTTTCTTGTTTTCAAAATTAGCAATATTTTATTTACTTCTCTAAAAACTATTTCTGTAGAAATCAAATGACCAGCATATTTGGGCCTCATTTCCATATGGCAATAATATACTCAGTCTGAGGACAGGTTGGCACCTCTGCTTTGCCATCATCTCTAGCACATTCTTTTTTCTTTTCTTTAGTGTCACTGAATTTTAACCACCACTTTTTATTTTTCCTAGCTGGACACTAGCATCTTGTGTTTTTGAACTTTAGGTTACTTAAAAGGCATTTCCATTTTCAAGTGATTAAAAGTTTTACTTTGTTGATTGAGACATCTTTCATCCTATGTAATTTGTTGGTGTGTTAGTCAAACAGTCTACCATATATTTTAATAATTTTGAAGAGCAATGCATCTGGTTATGAGGTTAGAAAAACAGTAAATACTGTTTATTTTATAGTGCAAAATGATCAAAACTAATAAGGACTTTACAAATAATTTAATATATCTTCCACACTACATCCACAAAGTAGTGCAAGGGTTTTTCCTTGTATATATGTGATAGGAAGATTCAACATATTACCAAAGTTGTGGATTTTGTTAGGAGAGCCTCATGCCCTTGACAACCCAGTCATTGATCTCATTCTCTATGACATTATCTTCTGAAACATATTTCCTGGGGATACCATTGCACATGTAAAAATATCTCGTAAATAAGTATGTTTATATTGAGACCTTGACACTTTTATTCATTGTTTTATTTTTCATATTTAAATATATTACCCTCAAAAGGTAAATTATTCTAATTTACCTATTTTATTTCAAACAGATCATGTTGTTTGTGAAGAAGAATTTAAATACGCCATGTTAGCTTTAAACTGTATATGCCCAGCAACATCTACACTTATTACACTACTGGTTCATACCTCTAGAGGGCAGTAAGTATATTTTTTTTCTTTAAGATAATTTACTTTAAGTTATATAACCATAAATAGTTACATTATTTAGCAATGTAAAGCCAAAATATACAACTAGATATGCATCTACATTTGCTTTTGTGTAAGTTATCTTCATTTGACAGATATAAACATATTAAAGGGTCCAAGACACACAGAAAATTGCCATTAATGCTTTTGTCCTTATTCATTAAACGAGATAATTTATTACAGCTTGTATTCTACTAAATGTGTACATTATTTCTCAGGTTTAGAGTTGAAAATTGTTTTTGTTTCCAAAAATTAAAAGTTTCACAGTAAATAAAATTTTATCAAAGAAGTAACATAAGAACTTAAATATTTTTGTTAGTCTTCAAGTTTTATGTGCACAATTAATCTCAAAATTTTTATTTTACATTCATTTTTAATAGTTATATAAATGGGTTGGTATAGAATAGCTCCTATTTTATCTATTTCAAAGTAGATGGGAGAAAGCTACATTATTAGAACATTTTAGTGTTTCCTTGCTTATTTTCATGTAGGCTCAAAAGCAGGAATTTTTTGACTTGGATGATAAATGAAAATTTGGAGTGAATATATCGCTGTAATTTTACAATACAAATAATGTGCTTATATTGCAGACTTGGTATTTCAAACAAAATGTTGATTTTCTAATTAAATTCTACTGTATGCTGTGGTCAAGGCCTTTTAAATTTAGTAAGTTAAATGATAGCTGTTTAGGTGAAGTATTAAAACAAATTAAGGGCAAGTAAAATTCTTTCTTGGAATTTATAGTAGGTGGAGTGAGTTACTAAAATAAAAATAGTAAATGCCCGGTGGCATTTTAAAGTAAATTTTGAGACAGGGTGTCCCTGTAACCACAGCTGGCCTAGAACTCACTATGTAGATGAAGCTGCTTGCGATCTCACAGTGCTGCACCACGCCCAGCTCACGAGTTCTCACTAGACAATTTTCTCTTCAGTACTTTCCTGTTAAATCTCTGTGATGGGAAGGGTGTAACAAGAACATGAATGAAGTTCTTCCTTTACAGGTACTCGTATTTTGATGCAAATCAAGTACATAAAATGATTTAGACACCAATTGATTGGACAGAGTGATCGTAAAGTGTGTTCGTTGTGCTTGCATACCACTCTTGTCACTGAATGACACAACTATGATACCAAATGTCTGTTGTAACTACATCGCTGCTCACACAAGTAATCAAGCAAAACCCATTGAGATTATTTAACAGCTTGTTACGCAGACTAAAGTAAAATTGCCTTGTGCATCTAGTAAATGTTGCTTTAAAATATTTTATTTATTTGTTTATTGTTTGATTTTATGTGTATGAATATTTTTCCTGCATGTATGTAAGTGCACCTGTGTATGCAGTGCCCATGGAGACTAGATGAGGGCATCAGATCCCCTGCAACTAGACTTATAGATCGTTGTTAGCTGCCATGTGGTTGTAAGGAAACAAACCCAGGTCCTCTGCAGAACATCAAGTGCTCTTATCCATTCAGCCACCTCAGCAGCTCTCAAATGTTCAAATGTTATTTTTTGAGGTACAGCATTGCCTCATGAAAAAAAAGTGTTTCTGATGGAGTTCAATATTTTTCATTGAACTTTTCACTGTATTCCACTGACATTTTCTTTACTAGTAAAATATTGTTATTACATAATTAAGGATTTTTTATTCCATAAGATGAATCTGCAAAATTATTTTACTCCTGTGTCATATTAAATACTGGGTTCCATTACAAGTTTCTTTATAGAATCTTTATTGAGATTGAATTCACATAGTACATACTTCACCTTGTAAAGTTTAAAGTTTACTATGATCACTGTGTCATTCATCACTATTTTTGAATTAAAGAAATATTTAATTAAAGAAAACCATAAAGATGTCTTCTAACTATTACCTATCATTTTGTATCCTTTCAACTCCAAACAACCAATTAATCTAATTCTCTTCCTATTGGTTTGCCAGTTCTGGACATTAAGTATAAAGGAAATCATATTTAGTCTGGCTTCCACCATTTGGAGCAACATTTTCAAAGTTCATCCTTATTATAGCATGGACTGACCTTTCATTCCTTCTTACAAACAGATATCCATTGCAGGACAGATCACATTTTATATTTTCATTCAATACTTGATGACTATGTTGTTTGTAAAGCATATACAGTATTGATGTTACCACTTGTGTAAATGTTTCTATGTGGATAGATGCTTTCATTTATTTTCAATATATATACAGCTAAGAGCAGCTAGAAGCAGAATTTCTAGAGCTTGTGGCCACTCTGTTTATCCTTTTAAAGATACTGTTAGAATATTTTACAAATAGGCTACAATATTTTGATTTTTACCAGCAATCCATCAGGGTTCCAAAGTCATCATAGTTTTAAAAAAATTTACTGTCTTCCTTTTAGATCACAACTATCAAAGGTGAGTGTGAAGTGATACCTTACAGTGTCACTAACTTGCACTTACTTTTGGCTATCAATATTGAACACAATAAAGATACAATTATATATCTTCTTTGAAAACGCTTAGACAAAATGGACAGCAGGGAACTGCCATAGGAGAAAAATCACACAAATACATGGACTATGGAAGAATCTCTAACTACTGCTTATAAGTTTTATTTATATTAATTTAATTTGTAAATGAGTGCACTCACTCATGTGTGTATGTGTGTGGACACGTCAGTGCACAGGTGGGGATCAGAGGGCAACTTGCTGGAGTTGGTTCTCTCCTTCCATCATTTGGGTTTTGAGGATTGAACTCAAGTTGTCACTCTTTGTGGCAAGCATTGTTAATTGCTGGGCGATCTCATTGGCCCCAGTGGCACATAATTTATGAATCGTTATTCATTGATATGTTAGAAAGAAATACGTTACCACCGATATGAAAATAGCTCAAATTATTCATTCTTGGAAGAAGTTTGCTTCCTAAAATAAATCTAAATGTACCAAAAGACTCATTCTAAAAATCTTAAGCACAATTCACAGATAACTTTATTAGAATGATATCTGTTTCTTGAAAGTTTTTAGTCTGTAATTTTTCCAAGGACCATATAGTAGATTTTGAAATACTGTTCATGGCATGCTCCAGACCAGTGAAGGCTACCAAGTGAGGCCTTATTTCCAACACACACACACACACACACACACACACACACACACACACCCCAAAACCAAATCAAAATAAAACAAAACAAAACAAAACAACAAAAACCAGGCTGGAGATGTGACTGAGGTGATAGAGTGCTGGCCTAGCATGCAGGAAGCCTTAGTTTAATCCCCAGCTTCACATAAGCTGGACTGGGTAGCAAATGCCTGTCATTTCAGCACTTGTGTGTGGGGTGAACAGAACTTCATGTCATTGTGATTTCATTACAGGACCCTGTCTAAATAAAACTGAAATACTGTTTATTACAGGTATAATTTAATTATTTTAGTGAATAAAGCTGAATGGTCTGCAGCATTTTTTTAATCTATTCAAATACAATCTTTCCCCAATTCTTAGTTTTTAAAATTTAAATATTGAGTTGTAGTAGTTACTTATATATTCTAGATACAAATACTTTCTGAGCAGTATACCATCACATGCATACAAATAATCTAGTATATTTTATTAAGCATGTCAGTTTGCTAAAGAAATTTTCTTAAATCGATGACGCATTAATTGAATAGTCAAGATCCTTTATTACAAATGTTTATAATTTTGTCTTTGGATATCAACAGAAATTTGAAAGTTCAGGTATGTTGATTTAATGAGAAGAAATTTGGGGGCTGAAATAAATATTATAATTGGAAAATGTTGAATAACCTAGAAGTTGTATTATGAAGCATTATAAAAATGAAAATAAAGTTATACAATACTATTACAATTTCTCCTTTAAAAATACTGATAATATTTTTTCACTTGACTCTATACCAATGGTTGCCTTACTGTCAATTATATTAACATTTTGATCGTTTGGAACCTAATTTAAACATATTTCTGTTTTTATTATTTTTATTTTATTTTATGTGTATGAGTGTATTGCCTGCATGCCTGAAGTACACTTATGGAGGTGCCTGCATTGGTCAGAAGAGGGTATCAGAGCCCCTGGAACTGGAGTTACGGTTGTCAGCTGCCATGTGGATGCTGGGAATCGAACCCAAATCCTCTGCAAGTGTACCTAGTGCTCTTAACCTCTGAGCTATCTCTCCAGCCCCTTGGAAATAGTTTAAAAAGGAAATCATGACTTTATTTAGTCAGAATCACTGTAGGCTGTTTAAAATCATCTGAAGTATATTTTAACATGAAATTGCATCTTATTTTGGTCAGTTAATAGACATTTGACTGACCGATCATGGTGACATTTCAACTCAAAACTTGAACATTTTAGCGATTTATTTTTTATAGTTTATATTGATTTTTTATTGAATTTTTGTAAATTTTAAACAATACATCTTGATCATAGTCGTAGTTCTCTTCCTTATCTGTACCTCCATAGCTCCTCTGCCAGATTTCATGCATTCCATCATATAAAGCCAAGTTTTGTTTCCCCAAATGTCCTTCAGAGTGAGTTCATCCACGGGTGCCTGGTCAATTAATTTAGTGTCACTCCCTTATACAAAACCAAAACAAAAACAACAAAACCTTTCCCTCTTCTAGTAGTCGTTGGTTTCCAATAGTTTCTCAACTAATGTTGGACTTCTTACACATTTCCCCACTTCTGTGCTGGGTTTTTGTCAGGTTTGCGCTTGTGTGGCTCTTGTGCATGCAGTCACCATTGCTCTAAGTACATATGAGCAATTTTCCTCCTCCTTAAAAACTAGCTCTCATAGTATCAGTGGGTAAATTGCAAGCTGCAATGGAGGGAAACCAATCAATAATCCTACCCTGCTGTAAGGATGAATAACCACAACAATGACTGACACAAACTATTGCTATTGGTACAGTAGTGGCACATTTACTTTGGGGGTAGTAAACAGCCACCTAATTGGACT